CCTCAGGAAAAAAGGGGACCAGAGGGGACAGAGGGCTGGACAGGGGATGGGGATGAGAGGTGAGCTCGTTTGGTAGTCAGAGCCCTGGACTAACCTCAGTGCATACGCCGTCCCTTCCACAGTCAAGAAGGCCAAGGCCTTCTGGCCTCTGGAGACAGTGGCAAAGGCATGGAGTTGGGATGCGGAAGTAGCCCCTCCCATGACCAACGCCAGGGCAGAGACCGTCAGTATCAGCCTGACCACACCAGGGAAGGGAACAGGCTCAGCAGGAAGCGTGGACCGAAGGCAGGGGTTTGCTAAGGGGCCTCCACAGCGGGTCAGGGAAGTCAGAGAGTGATAGAGAGCTTGCACCTTGCTCCCCTTGCCTCCGCGCTGTCCCGGTGGCAGCTGGGGTGGAGCTGGGAGAGGAGGGAGGAGGACGGGGAGGGGACTGCCCAGCTGGAAGAGGCCTTGTCTAATTGTGCCTGATTAGTAGAGAGGAAGACAACAGGGCGAGTGATTAATAGTCTCGGCAGTCACCAGCATGTGCAGAAGGAGGGTTGGAAGGGGGAGGGAAGTCAGAGCCCGGGGGGGATGGAGGCAGTGAAGCGCCCACAGGTCCTTGGTCACCTGCCCTCCAGGGAGAAGGACAGGGTTATACCCCTGTCTCCTCAAGGCTTCATTCTCCACTTCCCCTGTGCCTTGATTTTCCAGACAATAGAATGGAAAAGACCAAGGTCATGTCCTGCACCTAGGAAGAAAGGTGTACTGCTTGTGTGGTGCTTCCAAATATCTCGATGTGCCCAGACGCAGGCCCTATCCTCAGCTCAACCTGGGACCTCAGCCCGGAGATTCGATGCCAGGATTCCAATCACAGCGCGCAGCTGTCGCCTTATATTCTTTGATACCAGTTGGAGTTCCTAGCCCCGCCCAGTCTGGCAGCCGGAACCTCGTTCCTAGGACCAGAGCTGCACTGTCCAATACGGCAGCCGCTAGCCACATGTGGCTATTTGAAGGGAACATTCATTTTCTCTGTCACACTAATCACGTTTCAGATGCTCAATAGCCCGGGTGGCTAGTGACTACCATGTGGGGCAGCGCAGATACAGGACATTTCTGTCATCACAGAATGTCCTGTGGGATAGCAGGGATCTCAAGTGTGTGCTCACACTCCTGCACCTACCCACATGCGCACCAGTATTTGGGAGGGCTGTTTAGCAGGGAGTGCTATGAGAGGGGAGGGAGAGAGGGGGGGCCTGAGGGTCTGGAAAGGGGGAGGTGAGGTGCTGGAGAGCAGCGAAGGTGCCAGTGGATGGGTGAGAAAATGGCAGGTGGTGCTGGGCACAGTCAGGTGAAAGCTGGGAGTCGGGGCAGTGGCATTTTGACAGCTGACACTTTGTGCGTGCCAGGTCCTGGGCTAAGCTCTCTCTTTAATCCCCACAACCACCCACATTTTTTAGGTTCTAATATTCGATTTAATGGCTACAAAAACTGACGCTTATGGAAGCTTTTGACTCCTCCAAGGGCGCACAGCTTAAAGGGTAGAGCCAAGGTTCGAATCCACATGGTCTGGCTCCAGAACCCACACACTTGACTGCCATACCGTACAGTCCCCAGCTGAGAGGAGATGCTGAATTTTAGAGTCATCCTTGCATTTTACAGCTAAAGAAATGATGCCTGGGAAGAAAGAGTGATTTCTGCCTTCTAGTAAGCGGGCAGGCTGAGAGCAATCCGCAGTGGGGAGAGTCTAGATGGGCCTTGGAGCACTGGAGCCAGGTAGCAGATGGCAGAAGGAATCCGGGAGGAAAGGGCGAACATGAAGGTGGCGGCGAAATTAGGAGGTGGAGGTGGGCGTGGGTTGGCATGAGAGTGATTAAGTAGGGGACAGGGAAAGAGGAGAAGAGCTGGGGGAGCTAGGTGGTGGGGGGGCATGAGTGAAGAGGCGAGAGCATCCTCACCCAGGTGCCACCTCTTCTCTCTCCCCGTCCTCTCGCTCCTCTCTTTCCAAACCTCGCCCAGCCCAGCCTGGCTCATTCCTTAAACCTTCCCAATTTTCTTCAGCCCAGAGTGGTCTCCTCTCCTCTCTAACTTAGGCTCTTACTATCCATGTACCTAGTTTAGCAATTAATCCTGGCACCTCGTGACACTGCTTGGCTTGCGTGGCTGGGTGACTCTTGCATGGTTGGTTAAGCTTTGGAGTGGCTCTGTCCCCACTGCACCACAAGACTATAGGCTGCTTGAGGACAGGGACTAGGGACCAGGGCTTCCCTTCTTTGTTCTCCCCCGCAGCACCTGGCAGGGAGCCTGGTAGGTGTTGGGAACACCGTGTTGATGGATTGAGTGAGTGAGTGATTGGGAGTCAGTGAGGGGATGTCAGGGAATGTGGGGTGGGGGGGGAGCGACCGCAGTAGTAACAGAAGCATGAGCAGCAGCTTAGGGGACTGGGGGGAGGGTGAATTACCCGGAATAAAAATAGGCTGGAAAATGTGACATTTATTAACTTGGATTCCGGAGGAAAGGTCACGGCAGAGTGGGGAGTGGAAAGGAGGAAACAAGGAAAGCAACAGAAAACACACAGCAGCCCCTTTACCCAGGCCTGTCCCTGTCGCTGAGCACATCACCGTTCGCGCCCTGGCAGGCTCTCCGCCCACTGGTCGCTGTACTCATCTCCCCACCACAGATCCCTGTCATGGTTCCCTGTTCTTACCACAGTGCCAAATGGACCTCATGTCCTCATCAGAGACCCCCTGTCTTCGTCTCCACACCCTTCTTCCCATCATGCTGCAACAATGCACCCCATCTCCTCCATTGCCATAGGCCATGGGCCCCCATGCCAACCCACTAACCCAGACCCTGGGGATGTGCGGCAGGCTCAGCCCTAAAACGCCAAGTCCAGCGGAGAGTTATACTCAGCAGCTGGGGTGGGGTGCAGACAGCAAGGCATGGGGTCTAGGCTGGGTGGGGGGCAGGGGGAGCAGGACCCAAAGGGGAATTCCTGCCCCTCAGTGGTTGCTTGTCCCCTCTGCCCCCTCACTGTCCTGTAGCAGCCCCAGAGCTGAGACCCACAACTTGAAGTATCCTCCACCCTCCAGCCCCGGGGCCTGTGCGAGACCTGCCTTTATCCCTACTCGGTGTCCCCAGGGTTCAGAGAGACTCACCAGCCTCAATCAGGGGACTTCCTCTCCCCACATCCCCTGGCACCTGCTCCTTTCCTGATGGGAAAGCAGGAAACTCCTGCCCACCTCACCTTGCTTTCTCGCCCCTCCATCTCTTCCTCTCCTTCCCTCCCACTGAGGTTTCATCCCTCTCCTCCTTCCTTTCCACCCCCAGCCAGGGCCTGGGACACAAACTCCCACTCAGGAACACAAAGCCCCCATTGATTTCTGCCCCAGCAACACCTGCTAAGACTGGGCTCTGTCCCCCCAACTCGGTGAGGATATTGTATAGAGGAGCCCCATGGGTCTGAAAGTCCACATTCACACCCCGCACCCCACCTCTTTTGGGGGATTCCCAGCCTGGCTTTGGGAGAGGTGACTTCTGCCTAAAAGAGGGGGTTTGTAGCTGGACAGTAGGTCAGTGCCCCTGACTCTTTTCCCAGCGCAATCCTCTCCCGCTGTCTCTTCTTCCATCTCTAGCCAACTCCATCCCTGTGACCGAGGACCCAGGGGATGCAGGGGTGGTGGGAGCCAGGCGCTTGGTGGGAGCAGGTTTCCTGGTGATACTGAGGCAGTGACTGGGTGAGAGCCCGGGCTGGGGTGGCCGGGTCGTGAGGAAGGAAAGAGATGGGTTACTCTCATTTCTCAGGCTGGCCCCGGAGGCGGGGCTGGAGTGGGCACCATGTTGACAACATGTACGTACATATGCGTCTGGGCAGTGGTAACGTGTGTGCAAACACACATGTACACAGTACAGGGAGTAACCTGGACTGGGGACAGTCATCTCAAGCACCAGGAATAATAGATACCCTGTGACTGGGCGGACGGAGCACTGACAGACAGCGTGCAAGACACACCCCCACACTCACGCTTTGTGAGAGATGGTGGCAACAGCCCCCACCTGGGGAACAGGGGTCGGGATAAATGGGGGGGTCGCCACGAGAGGGCACGGCGCCCACAGCATGACCCTGTCCTTGGCAGCTAAGTCAGAGGTGGGATGTGAGCACAGAGTTAAGCAGCTCTCCAGATGTGTGGGTGTGTACGTGTGCACGTGAGTGTAGTAGCAGGGACACCGAGTGTGTGTGACACGGGCTGTGCTGCCGTGGCCCGGAGCCATGGAGGGGTGTGAGTGTGCGCGCCGAGCAGCAGTGAGGGCGAGCCGTGCACCGAGGAGTTGAATAGAGTGAATGAGTGATTCTCGGTGTCAGAGCCAGAGCCGGGCAAGGGAGCAGCAGGAACCAGGGAGCGGAGGGAGGGACCGGAGAGTGGGAGAAGCCAGAGGGGCAGCATGAAAGAGGGATGTGTGAGGGAGTCTGTGAAAGGGGGTGTGTGTGAGAGCCACAGAGACAGAAGGGACACTGGTGCCCAGTGTACACGAAGATCATCGCCACCCAGCCTGCCGGCCGGGCCAGCTCTCCAGGAGGCAGTCTGAGTCCTTCCCCTGCTGGAGCCCCCCTCACACGCCCTCTCCCCATCACCCGCATTAGGTAAAAGAAGAGTCCAGAAGTCACGGAAGAAACGTGGGGTCAGTTGGTCCAGCCTTGGCGTGGTGCACCCCGTCCCTGCCTGCTGACCAGCTGTGGGGCCCCTGGGCCCACTCCAGGACCCTGGCCCCAGCCCGGGGCACTGCAGCAGCAGCAGCAGCAGCAGAGCCGAGAAGAGGAGCAGCAGCAGTGCCAGGGTAAGCCCCTGAGTGTCCCCTGCTCCGTGGCTGTGCAGCCAGAGGGAGACACCAAGCTTGGGGAAGACTCGAGGCCAGCCTCTGGTGGCGGAAGGAAGGGAAACCCGGTTGAGGATGCCCCCGCGCACCACCCTCCACCAGCCTCTGGCCACCCCGGGCCAGGCTGGCCAGCTGGCAGGACTCACCACGGAGAAGTTGCTGGCGGAGCAGTGATGCCCACTGAAGTTGCAGCTCTTGAGCATGTCGGCAAGCTGGTGGCCAGTGCGGTTGAGGATGTCTACCATGTCAGGCTCCGGGTAGCGCAAGCCAGCGGCACGGTGCCCGTCCCGGTCTTTGGGGGGCAGCCCTGTCAGATTGGCCAGGTGGAAGATGTCAGCGTCGCTAAGTGCCGAATGCCGGAAGCGGTTGATGTTGCAGAGGGTGACAGCTGGGAAGCCAGCCACTGGGGCCGGGGCAGCGGGGTCCACTGCCACCAGGTGAGGCCAGGTCAGGTAGCCCCGGGCCAGGCCTGCCGCCTGGTACAGGAAGGCGGCCAGCGAGGTGAGTAGAGCCAGTGCCCACAGGGTTCTACGAAGTCCGTGGGGGCCTGGGCCACAGGCCCGGCCCAGCCCGTGCAGGGTGCTCGTGCTGGCGAAGGTGGCCAGGTCCCGGGGCGCTGCTGCCCCCCGTGCAGCCCCCAGGAGGCTCTGCTCATCCCCTGCCTCCTTCTCCTTGGGTTTCGCATCCTCCTCTGCAAATTTGATTTTGCACACAATCTCGATCGGCATCTGTCCCCGGCTGCTGGGACTGGCCAGAGCCTCCTTGCCCCTGTCCCTCCCTGGCCAGCAGCCCCCGGTGCCCTCCGGAGTGTCGGTGGTGGCAGCGGCTGCTCTTCTAAACTCAGGGCAAGCTGGAGGAGGATGGGGACAGGGTGGGGGCCTGAGGTGGGGGAGTCACTCCCACTCCGAGCAGCTCCGCAGCCCTGGTGCTGCCTCTGCCGCCGCTGCCTCTGCCGCCGCTTGTCTCTCTCCTCGATCGTCTCCTTGTGGCTTCCCTTATCAGCACCAGCACAGCTGTCAGCCCCTGCGTGTGTCCCTGCGAGCAAGCGAGTGAGCTGCTCCGCCACGCCGCGCAGCCCCAGCCGCTCCGCTCAGCATGTGCTCCGGAGCCCACCCCGTGCTTAATAATTCAGGACATGTCAACAGCGTTTCACCGGCGGCACGGGCGGCAGGAGCCAGGCCAGGGGAGGGGGCAGCCCCCAGCCTAGGGCAGGGATCCCTGGCCCCTGCCTGAGACCTAGTCGATCTGCTCCCCAAACTCTGGCTAGACCTTAGCCACTCATGGGGTGCTCTGATGGCCCCGCTCCCAGGCCACCCAGGGAAGAGGGCTGCACCTGGAGTCCTCAGCTCATCCTGCCACTTTTCTGGACCACACCTCAGGAGGAGTTACAGCCAACTCCATCCCCCAGCTCCTGGCCTCCCTGACTCCTGATGCCGGCACCCAGCCACCACCTGACCCCACTGCCCCACTCACAGCGGCTTCCAGAAACTCCTTGGGGGAGCCACTTGTTTGAATGGGGGGCAGAGGAGGGCAGGACAGACAGACAAGGGAACGACAGGGAGGCCACCAAGATTCCTGGCTTCCTCAGAGCTTTACTCCCGACTTTCACACATCCCATACCCTGCGCCTTCTGGGCCACCGGCTGCCCCAACCCCCAGACTCAGTCACTTGAATATCTGGGACAGAGGGTACCTGGGCTGAATTGCACATCTATGGCCACTTTGCCTCCTCAAATGTTCCCCAAATTTGTAGCCACAGCCAGGCTGGGGGTGGGGTTGGGGAGGTTGCTGTTGAGTGAACAGGCCAGGGAGCAGGGAGGCCAAATGGGGTATCGAAGGGATCAGAGAGGTGCAGGGCCTGCACAGGGGTGCAGCCCTAAGAGGCAGACCCAGGTGGAGCCCCCGGCAGGGTGGGGCAGGGCAGCCTTGGGTGGCTGCTGTTCTGGGGGGGGGGCAGGCGTGTGGGCCTGCTGTCAGGCAGGGCGCCCCGGCAGCAGGACAGGAGGGGCCTGGGTGCTGCCGGGTAGGTGTGGGGGGGTCACAGTGAGCAGCCTGTGGCCTGGGGGGCCCTATAAAAACGTGAGCCCCCGTGGGGGAGGAAGCACTTGTCCCCTGGAGGAAATGGGGGGCTGATTAATCGGGGCGCTAATGAGCAGCAGGGAGAGGAAGCTCTGAAGGGCGGGGGAGGCGGCTCCATCGATCTGAGCCGCGGAACCAGCAGCTGAAAAAAAAGTGAGAAGGGAATCGATCTGAGGGGAACTGCAGCTGCTGGGGATTAGAGCCCGAGGTCCACCCACTGCCCGGTGGCCACCCTCCCCTGTGTCAGGCGGCAGGCCTGCCCTTCAGGTCGCAGCCCCTGCTAAGCCCTGGAGGGGCCCGGGGTTGGGGGGGTGGGGAGCGGGGGCAGGCGGGCAGGGATCCACTCTGCCCACCCTTGGCTGCAAGTCCAGGTCAGCCCCTTCAGTCACCACAGGTCACCCCAGCACAGGTGTCACAGGCACACACACCCCTGGCCATGTGCGACCCCCTGCTGGGTTGTCCCTAACCTCATCAAAGTAGCTTCCTCCGGGCTCACACGGCTGGGCTTCCCCACAAGCCAGCTCCCCCAAATTGGGAAGATAAGACCCCTGGGGCAGGGGCTGCATCGGTGGGGTCCCTAACGGGTAGGTGGGGCTGGCACTGGAAGTGGCTTCTGAGTGAGCACTCTGCCCCCCGCAGCCCCTCCCAGGCTGGCCCCTCCCCGCTGCACTTGCCGTCTAGACCCTTCCAGTGCTTCCTCTCCCGCCGCCTGGTCCTCCCCGAGCCTCTCTCTTCCCCTTTCTCCTAGTATTGATTTTTCTTTACTGAGTTTTTTAAAAAGGTGATTTAATTGTTTTTTTAAGGTTATTTCAGTCTGGGGCTAAGCCAGAAAAGTGGGGCGCTGCCCCAAGCTCTCCCCAGTGCTCGCGGCAGCCCCGGACCCCAGGCACGTCCCCAACTTGCCACCCATCGAGATCACAGGGTCATGCTCCCCCCACACACTGGCCTCTGCCACCAGCCCCAAGCACACCCTCTCTCCCTCTAAGAGCCTGGCAGGGGGCCTCCGACCTCTAGAGGGAAGGCAGTTGGGAGCTAACCTGGTCGGGGGGGAGGGCAGGGAGCTGCAGGCCTCGGAAACGGAACAGCACATGCCCTCCACTGCTGCCCCACAGGCAGCTGCTCCGGTTGTCCCCAAGTCCCCGTCATCTGGTCCCCCAGAGGCCCAGGGATGCCGGTTGTGCTCAGTGGGAGTCCCCCCCCCAGTCTTCCAGGCCATCCCTTGGTCAACCCCCCACTCCAGTGTCTCCCGTTTTCTCCCTGGCCCCCCACACCCTCTTTCTCTCTGGCCCCCGTCCTTTCTCCCCTCCCTCTCCCCGCTTCCCTGCCTGCCTCCTTCTCTGCCCGGCTGCAGTTGGGTGATAATCTCCCTCATTTAGCCTCCTGGCTGCTTCCCCGGCTCATTGCCCAGCTGGTCCCTGGGGCCCGGCCCAGCTTCCTCCCCACCCCCACTCCCAGCCCAGCGCCCAAGCTCTCCCATCCCCTCCCTGCTTCCCCCACCCACTCCCTGGGGACCAGCTGCACCCTGCAGTGAGCACCAGGGCCAGTGCTGCGGGCCAGAACCTGGACTGGGTGTGACTGAAATGGGAAGGGCTGTCGGGAACTCTGGTTGGGAGTGTGGGTGCCCGGTGCAGGGGGCCACGGGGTGGGGGGAGGGTGTGACTGCAGGGTCAGGCTGTGAAGCCTCAGTCAGGTGTCCTCTGTCCTCCAGTTGCCCCTATTCCCTGGATTTGTTCCCAGCCCAATCCTCCACCCTCCTACCGCCCCCCCAGGGGATGAACTAGGCTTCCTGACAGAGCGAGGGTGGTGGATGGACTCAGAGGTGACATCAGAGTGACATCCATACAGCCGAGCGGGGCAGGGGTGGGGGGCAGAAGCATGAGGAAGGTGACTGAGAGGGCAGGAGGGTTCTGACTCAGAGCACTTGGGAGGAGGCAAGAGGTTGAATTTGAGCAAAGTGGCCCCAAGGCAAACCTGGAGACCCCCCAGGGTGCAGCTTGGGGTGCTCCAAGGCTGTCTCCAGGCCCTTCTAGCTCAGGGCTCCTGGAGGCAGCTCTTCCGGCACAAGGAGACAGACCCTCAGGCTGAGCATTGGCCCGGTCCCACCACCTGTGGCCTGTGGGCCCAACTCTGCCCCTGGGTGTCCCCAGTCATGAGTGACATGACCCCCAAACTCCTAGAAAGCGTTCTCCTAGAGAGAGTCCTCAGCCTCCTCCTGGTCCCAAAGGATACCCCCATGCCACCCCCGACACTCACACGCCTGTCCCAGAGCCCGCTCTGGTGTGGACCAAGGGACGAGCCAGTGTGGGACAGACGTGGGTGGGAAGGAGCAAGGATGGGGGCGGAGGCCGGGACTGGGCCAGTCCTGGCTGGTGAGCAAGCGGCGGTGACAAACGGGCTGTGCGGGGGCCGAGAGGCGGGGGGCGGACCGCGGCTGATTTATCTGGGTTATTTATGCTGCGGACGAGGCAGGAGAAGCGGTTAATGAGAGTCCCAGAGAAGGGGGGTGGGGAGGCCCAGACGTGATCTGAGTCAACTTAGGAGGGTTAGCGCCCCACCACCAGGCCCTGCCCCCACGGCCCACCAGCACTGTGCACCCCAGGCCCCGTCCTAGGGCCACCCCAGCCGTGACGCCTCTCCTGTGGCACCCCCCTTTTTGATGCCCACACTGAGACAGTGGGTCACCGGGGACTGAAGGAGACCAGGTCCAAGATTGAGGGCAGGAAAGGGAGCAAAAGAAGATGAAAAATCTTGGCTGGACAGAAACTGACCAAGTCTTTGGGGCCTGTGGGGGAGGGGCGGGGGAGAGGCCAGTGGAGCAGTGGGTGGGTAGCTGGCAACCTCAGAGCTGGGGCTGGAGAGAGGGCATTGGGGTGCAGATCTGGTGTCAGCCAGGAGCCGTCACGGGCCCTGAGAGGCAGAGACAGGGTGGGGGTGGGGGGTGCGGTGCTGGTCAGAGAGAAGAAAGAGCCCGGAAGGAGGGGGGAGAAGATCCACAAGAGGAGGGGGAGAGGGCTTTGCAGCAGCGAAAGCTGCTGGGAACAGATAAGGCAGCGCGGCAGCAGCAGGGATTAAAGCTCTGAGGGGCGGGGGCGGGGCGAGGCGTGGGACACGGGAGGGGGGTGGGGAGGTAGGCAGGAGAGGGCTGAGGGCAAGACACCAGGACCAAGGAGACGAGTGGGAGAGAGGAGGGCTGCCAAAGGGACAGGATTCAATCAGGAGCCAAGAGGCGACTGCCTAGGAAAGAGGGAGGATAGAAGGGACCTCAGCTCATCTCTCCTGCAGAGGGGGGTCTTTTCCACCACTGGCGAGCCACCTACCCGCACATGCCAGGGGCAGCAGAGCCAAGCAGCTGGGTGCATTGCTGAGGGTAGGGAACTGGTAGATCGTTGGGTGGGAGCAAGTGGCGGAGGCCAGCACTGGGAGCCGCTGAGCTCCTGGCAATACAGTGAGGGCCCACAGCACCTCCTTGAGGTGGCCAGTGAAACCCAGGGGCAAGGGGAAGAGAGTCCCCAGCCAGTCTGTCCTGGGATGGAGACCTCGTCACGCCCAGGTGGCAACGACCAGCATCTCAAAGGGAGTTTGTTGTGGGGAGATTGTGGACTTCCATGTCCATACCCCTCCCCATGTCCCCATGGACACGGAGGGAGGCTTCTTCGGGCTCACGCCTTGAACTGGAAGCCCCTTACCATCATCCCCAGCCTTCCCGTCCACCAAGCCTCCCAGAAGGATGTGCTTGGGGAGGGTGAGGCCCCGGCTCCTTTCAGATGAGAACCTGGGGCAGCTCAGGGGTGGCTGTGGTGACAGAGGGGAACCTTGGAGGGAAGGAAGAGGAGGAGTAGGAGGGGGCGGGGGGAGGGGAGCGGGGGTGGCGGGTGGGGCAGAGTAATTGCGTGTTTGTCAGTTCCTTCTGCATGCGAGGGAGCCTGCGGGTGGTGGGTGTAGCTTCCCCTCCAGGAGTGTGTGTCTGCTGGCAGAGGTGTCAGTGTGTCTGTCTCAGGGCTCCAGCTCTCTCTGGCCCCCACCCCCCTTTGTGTTGGGGTGGGGGATCGTGGCTCTGGGCACACCCAGCTGTGCTCCGTGCTGATGCGGCAGATGTGGCGGGGCCCCAGCTGCGCCTACTTCCCAGAGAGGGGGAGGGGGCTGCAATCTGCTCCCCCGATAATGGCAGCTAAACGCTGGGTGGTGGTGGGGGGAGCATCGGGAGGATGGAGACGGGGGTGGAACTAGGGCCCAGGGCGACCCCACAGAAGGGACAGGAGATGACAGCCCTGTCCCTGCCCCACTCCTGGCAATGTTCTTAGCTTGGCCTCTCCCCTGGGTCGCTCCTGAAGCCCATCCAGATCTTCCTGCTCAGTCCCCATCCCCAGCTCTCCTCCCAATCACCCCATCCAGCTTGGTGCCAGGGACCTACCCCCTCCCTGGCCCCCAGCTCGCTCCCCCTCGCTGATTTTACAGAATAAT